GGACGGATAAAACTTCTCGGATGCGTGAAGGGAGACGCTTCAACCAAAGCTGGCGGATGATGGCGTAATCAAGTACGCGGGTGCCGAGGAGTTGCCGCGTGTGTCGCGACAACTGGGACGGGGTGCGGTTGCCGATTTTGAGGTCCCCAAACAACTCATCTAATCGGCGTTCATCCGACACAGCTGTGCGGGTGATTAACGCTTCCTCCAATTGAGTGTATGGGTCGGTCTCGGGTATGGTGATGATGAATTCGAACACCTGATCCGCAATATCGGTGGACAGGGGAGTGACTATATGGGAATACACAAGCGTCTGGGAACGGATGAGGTGGGCTTGGAAATGGGCTTCGGCTTGGGTTAACCATAACCGGAGGTTGTTAATACGGAATACCGGTAATTTGGTGTGAGGAGACATGGAAAGGTCCTCTATGTCTAGTTTTGATTGCTCCATGTGTGAAATATACCGTAAACAAGTAAAATAAAATGAAGTGAAATTCCTGAAGAATCTGGGGTACCGTAGGAAAATATAAAGCGATAGATAATCTAAACAAGGGCTTACCAAATATGTAGTGGAAAAGATACTACATATACGAATAATAATGAAATAAACGGTACAAGGAACGGACTCACAGAAGGATTGTCCGCTGGTCGATTGATCCTGTTCTTGTGATATGTGGTTCCGGTTGACGAGGTGTAGAGGAGCTGAAATGGGTGACTGCGACAGTTAACGGACCGCTTGACGATAACTGATAATGCTTGCTTAATTCCTCAGCAACACTCGGGGAACACGTGCGTATTTACGAACAGAATTTTGTATTGTGTATTAGGTACTGAGTATATTAAAACAAGCTGTACAATCAGATCAGATAAAGTGGATAGAAAAGTAAGACACTACAAAGCCCATGGGCGGATGATGCCAAGATTCAGCATGTGCTGGAATTCAGCCGGGCTATTTTGAGTTTGTCCGGGGCGATGCGTCTAGGGCGACAGTGTGTCGGTGGACCGCGCAGCACGATATGGTGTACGATGTCATTGGTCGTCTGAGGAAGCATATCCGGCGGTTCGCACAACTCCGGAAATTCGGAGAGAACCGCACGGAACCTATCGTTAACGTCAGGGATGTACTGCAGTGGGCTCACGGACGGAACATCTGCAGGTGTTCCGCGAGTCTCACATGTGGTGAGACGATCGATGAGCTTGTGGCCAACCGGGTCAACCATAAGGTTGAAATGCCGGAGAAAATCGATGCCGATGATGGATTGTGGAAGGTCGGCGATGATAAATACCCAGGGTAAACTACGGCGAATACCGAGGTTCAGTGTGAGTGAACGCTCGCCGTAGGTTTTGATGGGCGTGCGGTTCGCAGCGACCAGTTCCACAGAAGTGTCGATGAAAGTCAGCGGGGCGAGGGCGTATCACGCTGACCTGTGCGCCTGTGTCGACCAGGAAGNTGACGAAAAACAGGCGACTTGGTTGTGGCGAGCCGGACACGGTCGTCGCCTGGGTCGGTCTGCTGACTAGTTTCCCGTCCGGGGTGTATAGGTGCACGGTTTAAGACACGTTTCGCGGTGTCACTGTAACCACGGTGATACCAGCAAATACCGTTCGACGGCGAACGAGAACGAGGACGCCGTGGGGTGCGGCTCCGGTAGTTGGAGCGCGAGCGACATCGTTGTCGCGGGCGGTCGCGTGATATGGTTAA